TGTGTGAGGCGCGTATGTGAGGGGCGCGTGTTGAGGGGCGAGTGTAATGTGCGCGTGTGTGGTGCGCGCGTTGTGTGCGCGCGTATGGGAGGCGGGCGCCGTGTTGTGAGGGCGAAGTGTGTGACGTGGCGCGTAGTGTGAGGGGAAGCGTATGTGAGGGGAGCGGCGTATGCTGAGGACGCGTGGCTGGTGAGGGGGCGCCGTGTGGAGGGACGCGTATGGGAGGGGGCGCCGTGTGTGAGGTGGGGCGTATGTGAGGGGGCGCGTAGTGAGGGGACGGCGTATGTGAGGGGCCGCGCGTAATGTGAGGCGGCGAGGTGTGTGAGGGCGACGACGTGTTGTAAGGGGCGCGTGTGTGAAGGGGCGAGTATGTGAGGGGCGCGGCGTATGTGAGGGGCGCCCGTGGGTGAGGGAGCCGTATGTGAGGGACGCCGTGTGCTGAGGGCAGCGAGTATGTGAGTGTCGCGTGTGTGTGAGGGCGTGGTCGCTGAGGGCGAGTGGCTGTGAAGGGGCGACGTGTGTGAGGGCTTGCTGTGTGAGGGGCGAGTGTGTGAGTGTGCGCGGCCGCTACAGCCTTGTGCTGGCGCTGTGTGTGAAAGGGTCCGCGTATGTGACGGGACGCGTCGGGTGAAAGGCGCATGGTAGGGGCAAGACTATGTGAGTGCTGCCTGTGTGAGAGGGCGTGTGTTGAGGGGAGCGACTGTGGTGACGGCGGGCCCCGCGCGTTTGGGCAGGCGTGCGCGGTGTGAGGTGCGTGTGTGTGAGGGCACAGTGTGAGGCGTGCGAGTGTGTGAGGGATGCGAATGTGTGAGCGGGCGAGTGTGACTGAGGGGGCGGAGTGTGGGAGGGCGAGTGTGTGTAGGGGGCGCGACGTGTGTGAGCGGGGGCGATGTGTGTTGAGGGGCGAGTGTGGAAGGGGGCGCGTTTTTGGGAGGGCGTGCGTGTGTGAGGGGGGTACATCTCTCCCCGTGTGTTGAGGGGGCGCATATCGCTTCGCGCATTTTAAAGCGTATATACAGCGAATACGCCGAGAGTGTTTATTGTAGTGTTAGATCCAACAGGGCCATGTTTTGAAACAATAACCCAGAAGCACGGCTGGACTCCAATGACGCTATATTCGTCGATGTAATTCATACTGGATGCGGATGGTCTTTCGATAGTAAGTATCTGTTGTAGTCTCCTGGTCTTTATTACATTTTCTAACAACACACACACAGCCACACACACACACACACACACACACACACACACACACACACACACACACACACCATAAGCACACACAACACACACACATGTCGTATAATCAGTAAATATCTCGTCATGAGATTAGTTCAGCGCATGTTTTATGGTTTTAAGCTGAATATTATTGTCTGTGTTCCCTTAAGGTTCTTGCTGGAATTTCTCATCCTGTCGGGCACGTAGACTTCTACCCAAATGGCGGATCTCGAGCCAACCAGCGATGGCTCGTTCATTCTGCCAGACCAGGAGCGAACATTCCAGCACTACTTTAAATACAATCGAGACGTACCACAAGAGGCAGGTATGCTTTTTTCACTTCATTATGCCAAAGGGTTCTCCAAGGAGACAAATGTTGAAAATTAAATAGAAGAGATTCATTAAAGGAATTAAAAGAAACTAAAGGAAACTTATCACAGAATATTATACGGGCGCTTGCTTAACGGGGTTACAGAATAGTTACGGTGCAAAGATTTACGATAATTTAATTGAGAAGAGCAGAAATTAAGGCCCCATTTCTAGTGTCTCATTTCTCCATTTCTCCGTAAAAAAACAGACGGTGTACCAGTTCCCGGTTAATTAAAATCGCAAATTCGACTTTCCCGCGTCCAGGTTGACTGGATCAATTTATCCGGGCCTTCCCGGTTCCCCGATATTTAAATTAATCGAATCCCGCACACCGATAATAACCGTTCTCCTCCCTCATCAATTGTGCGGTCTCGCGTGCGTGTGATATGTCACGTGTTCTGACGGGCGCCGCCATCTTTGTTATGTCCGCACGCAGATATCGGCTGCTCGCACGGCCGCTCCCACGACCTGTTCACGGACAGCATCGACAGCGGCCAGCCGCTGCTGACATACGCCTGCAGCAGCTACGCGGCCTTCCTGGCTGGCGAGTGCATCGCATGTGAGAACGGTGGCTGTGCGACGCTGGGCTTGCACGCCGACCTGTACGCCGCCAACTTGAACGGTAGAACGGGAATCCGGTTCTACCATAGGGTTCTACTCACAAACAGCCGCCGCTGCTCCGTTCGGGGGTGAGAAACTCACCGAAAAAACTTTCAATAATATAATAAAGATGATGTATATTATTATATATTAGTAATAATAATAATAATAGTAATAATAATAATTGTAATTATGGATAATACCATCGTCCGTTTGATCTGAGCTTTCCATAAGTATTCAGCCGATTTCGCTTCTCAAAATGCGCAGCGCCGTGTGGGACTTTTTGATAGCCAGTTATGCTGCTTAAGTATATGGTTATTTAACTATGGTTATTGTTGCTGAAATGATGGCTATTTAAGCTTCAGAGTGATTGCTCTGCAATTCAAGTTTATACAGAGTGCCGATAACACGATAATAACATATATTATGTTCGCCGACAGTTTTAAATTTTAAGAAATTCTTGAAAAACACACTCTTTTCGGAAGTAAGTAGCCGTATTCTCATGTGAATACCTACATTGTAATTGGTAACGGCCTCTTATGAGAGGACTACGAGCCGGAGTTATCCAGCAAGCTTAGTCGGAATGCAAAATTGTTTTTTTCGACTCGAAAATCGCGCCTTACATTAGTTATGCGTATAACAGCCTGTTTCAATACTGTTTTAGTATTCCACGAGAAATTACAAGTTTTCTTTGGAAGGTTTGAGAGCGAGGTAAGAGGCCTCTTTAAAGGCATATTTACGGGAAGTGGCGGTACCTCTGGAATATTACAAGTTGGAGAGTAAGTAACCCTATCGACTTTCTTAATATGTGTTTGGTTTCATTTCAATCGCAATAAATATGTTATACTACGCGTTTGTCATGTAAGCCATATTTAAACTGACGGCGGGGGAACGTAGGATTAATTCTATAGTTACGTGTTTCTAGGAGCCATGCAATAAAGCCGCAAGCAACTGCGAGTGCCATTGCAAGTCATCCGGAACATATAGGCAGTGTAAACAAAGTCCGATTCTACTGGGATTTTGACTCTGACTGGTATGATCCATGGCAGTGGTTCAGTAACCCTGAAATCCGCATAGGAAAACTAACGGTGTTCACTTGAGAAACGCAAAGAAGGTACTAAGCGTCGAAAATCTATTACCTGCGTAACGAACTGTTCTTTATTCTCGACATTATTCGATTTATGAACCAATTTCATCAATATGGTATCCATGATAAATTTTATTAACTATATGTATGTACTAGGGGGATACCCGGCGTTGCCCGGGGAAATCAGTGGCGTTACTCAGCTGGTGACCGCTTGGTTGAAAGGAAAATACCCCCAAAAATCTAACTGAGCCCACTGCGCCATCACGTTTATACACCATGGATTCAAATGTACCATACATTCACCATGTATTCAGACGTAATGTTGTGTGTACGTACGTGACCGCCATCTATTGATCAATAGAATTTTTTATGAATGTTTTACTTTTTAACTTTTTTAAATTTTTGTTTCAGCAAGAACCACCTCCGAGACGTGCTGATTCTGAAAATATCTTTAGTTTTCCTCTAGGCTGCGGAGTTCTCTAGTTATGCGCGAACACACAAATTCGGCTGAACAACTTTATATAGAAGTAATATAAGAAGTGACGATTCACAAACAGTCACGTTTTTATTACAGTGTCGATCTCTGCGGACCCGGTGACGCCATTACATCAGGGGAATGGGTGGATTTCAGTCCATGCTGAATCGACCCCTGTGTCACATCAAGATGATCGGCTATCGTAGATTCTAATAACATGTCAGGACTTCATAATGAATAGGAACATAGGACAGAATTGGCACACACGCGCACACGAACGCACGCACGCCGCCGTTTCATGTTTAATGCTTTGGGGAAATATTACTGTCATAGGTAAGCTGTCTGATGTACTAATAGAGAGGCTTAAACGCCCAATTCCAAGACTTGTTCTTCCAGAAGCAAGGGAAACTTGTTATTTTAATCTGATAAGACTTAATTATTTTATTGACGGGCATTTAATGCAAATCTGTTATTATGACAAATTGTTGTTTAAAAAATTAATTATTATCTAGCTATATAATCTAAGTAAAATTTAATCTGGGTTATCATTAACATCAATTAATGTCTCGCTACGGTATTATTGTATTCGTATAAGTGTAGCTCTGCTTATTCTTCATTTCAATAAACAAGATTGTTCATCATCTCTTATTAATGACTTTTTATCAGGAAAACACAATAATCGAAACACAACAGAATAGGAATAACAAAATTAATACAGGTTTCTGCAGTATATCTGCACATGATTGAGGAAAACGTAATCATTGCCTTGTGGTGGCGCCACAACATTACGTATTAGTTAAAAACCTAACGAGGTTATCCTGCTCGTTATTACACTACTCATTTAAAAACAATTATTATACTATACATATAATATACCATACCGTAAAATCTACTTCTAATTTTAAATCCGTTTATGAAATTACGAATAAACTCACTTGCCGGAGACGAAAACAAGGTAAAGTCAAGTTGAAAACTACTCAAAATGCTGTTAAAACAGTGCCATACTCTTCTCCCATTATGTACTTGATATTAAACAATACAGTTACTAAGTTACAGTTTATTTACGTTAGAACGGATAAATTTGTTAACTTTCCGATCAGTCCCCGATTCAATTTACGGTGCACCTACTTAGTTTAAAGCGTTGATAATCAATTCACAGCTACCCAGTGCAATTACATATCTACTCGCCTTTAGTTTCAACCTAAGGCGGCATCTTCGACTTTTGTTCACATCAGATTCGCCGGAAAATTCGCTGATACCCAAGCGCCGATTATATATATTATTTTGTCTGATCACTAGTAACTCACATAATACGCATAATACTTCGTTATTACCATGAAACGCCAATCCCTAATGTTAGAATCTGGCCAATTCCTAGTCAATTATTAATAAATATAAACGACGCACTCATTCGTTTAGGCCCAAGTACTGGCAGCTACGCGTCTAAACAGAACTATTTCCGTTAATTGATTTTTCGTGTGTATTAATTTATAGCCACTTATATTGCTCTGGCAGATTTGTTGTAAATGTTGTCAATTAACTCATGCAGTATCTTGCACGACTATAATCCTCCCAGATACCCTATTATTATAGCAAATAAAGTATTTTTCATTTAGGGGAATTATATGGCTGCATTTAATGTAGAATTAATATACGGATAATAAATTATTACAACGTTACATGCTTATAACAAACCGTCCTCGTGTTTTCCCACTCGCCGTAGCTTAAGAATAAGATAACGCAGGCTGTATAGAAACCTGCATGTGATTATCTGTACGGCATACCTCGCATAAATTTAGACACCCTCTGCAACGTATACGGCGTATTACTTGTGTCTCAAAATCAGCCGCTGTGCATACAAAATCTCAGCATTTATAATCAAGGTACAATCATATAGGGGGCCTACTGATTGTGTGTGCACTCAAAAGGTGCTTCCATGCCAAAAAAATCTTACGTAACAAATTTATATCCATCTAATAATTATTAAACGATCTAAATATGCTCAACAATTGGGCACAAATACAGTCACAGCAAATTCGGGAAAAAATGGCGCGAATCCCGTTGGCTATAATAACGCGTGCTGCAGTACTCGTTTTGCGAGCTATAGGACGTCAGCTAGGAATCTCGGGGGGTGGGGGGGGGGTCACACGTAACAGAGCCATCTAACCGCAACGAGGAAGAGCATGGTAGTGACGACGCTTGATTGTGCGTAGCGCAAGAGATACTGCGCCGCAGATGTGGCCACGTCTTCGTTGCATCGATCGGTGTGGCAGCAAGTGACACAGCTCCACGTGTCCAGCGTGTATTTGCACGGCATCGATATGTTGGACTCGTTCCTCTGCGCGTAGCACGGCAGCTCCTTCGTACACGACTTTGTGATGAGCAACTTGTGTATCTCACCTGCAAAACAATCAAAATAGTCGTACGCACGGCTCCGCAAAGCTTTTCGTTATCAGACGCACGTCGCTGGTTCGTTTGCTCTACCTGACCTTTTTCTGACACGTGTCGTGCGTAACTTACCTGCATGCCCATGTCACCAAAACAACTTCGTGTTTACCTAGCTAAGCCGGTGACCATTGTTTGACATCTGACGAGCGTAACCTAAATATCTAAGTAAGCATAACTTAAAAATAATCATGATTTACCTACCTGCCCATGTGACCATTGTTTGACAGGTCGCGCGTAAGTTAACCGAGTAAACACAGCGCATGACGTATCATCAAGACCTAATAATACCATTAATGTGTATTATTAGCTCTTGGTATCAGGTATAACATACCTGACCAGGTGACCATTGTCTGACAGGTGTCGTGTGTGGAGGCGCACTCGTCCAGGTAGAGGGTACCGTTACACTCACCGTTACTGTGTACGTTCTCGCACTGGTAGCACTGCAAGCTTTGCACCTCTGCAACAATGATTATAGACAGTGATTGGATTAAATGTTTGCGATAAAACGTAATTAACTGATTACACACAACGAAGCGGCCATTTTCATTCATATATTGCACTTTTTATATTTTGTGATTGTTTTTCGTTATTTTATCATCATTTAAATGGTGTAGAGTTACATTTTATTATAATAATTAACACTTCAAATTAAATAATAGATGTAATTAGCAAAACAAAAAAGTAAAACGCCTTTTTCGTTTCACAAGCACGACAATTGGCAATGCGGTATTGAACAGAGTTAACAGAGTTGAACAAGGTTAATTTGTTCCTTATACAAAGGAAACTGTGTGTGTGAAGTAAACGCTAATTACGATTCATGTGTCAGTATTTTCTCTAACGAGGCAAACGCCGGTGACTGAGCACGGGTATAACTCTGTCACGCAGTGAGACACCACTCAGCTCAGGCTGGACAGGAAAGATAGTTGGCTCTGTCGAACAATGCATTAAGCGGGCAGCACACTTCACCATTTTCGTTGCTCGTACAGGCAATTTTCGTGGTTGCCACAAAAATGGCCAAGTGTGCGGGGGCCGGCAACGACCACTCACCACGGAAATTTAGTGCTGACCACGAGTTGCCGAGAATCAAACCGGTTTCATTTCTCACCACGAAAATTGCTTGTGGTGGCAACTTGTGGTGAAGTGTGCTGTGACGCGGCAACGGCCACAAAAATTGCCGACCACGAAAATTGTCTGTACGAGCAACGAAAATGGTGAAGTGTGCTGCTAGCTTTAGGTCGGTCCTCATAGGACGCGCGTCTGCGCAATTACCATCGACATAATGCGATTGCGGGGTAGTTAACAACACCATGTTAAGAGTGAGCAGAATCGGTGCTATACGCATGACTCACTAGTACAGGGAAGAGACGGCACACACACACACACACACACACACACACAACACACACACACACACACACTCACTCACACACACACACACCACGTACGTATTCACGCGCCCCGTGCGCTGGCGCACCACACACAGCACACACACATACATACACAACACCGCGGCGCGCACACACAACACACCACACACAGTACGTATTCACGCACACCGCACACGCACACGCACACGCACCACGCACCAGCGCACACACACAACCACACACAACGCACACACACACACACTCACGCACAGCACATTCACACGCATACGCACACGCACACGCACACGCACACGCACACGCACACGCACACGCACACGCACACACACGGACACACACACACACACACACACACACACACACACACGTATTCACGCACGGACGCACGCACACAGGCATGCAGGCAGGCACGCACGCACACACAAGTATTTTAAAAGAGATTATTTTGTCGTAATTTCACATTCAAAATGGAGAGCCATATACTCATTACATGCGTGGTAGAAAATTGGCATTCCATTATCTCACTTTATTACTTTTACGGCAGGCGCATATATTTTTAGAATTAAACGTTAATGTAGTGCAGTGAGAGATACACGTTCTTGCATTCTCAGTATTTGCGAAAATATAGATAAATGAATAAATAAAGAAATAATAAGAATATAATACATTATATGATACTAGTGTATCGTATACTCTATTACGTAGTACATTTTGGCTCATCTTGTGTGTGGTGCTGTGTCGTTGTGGGTCGTGTTTGTTTGTTCGCCGCTTTTTCGCGCTGATTTGTCACTCATTCGCGCACTTGAGATCGATCATTCAGAATACACCACGTCTGGGAGCATGGTCTGGCTGAAAAAACAATTAAAAAAGTCTTAAGTAATTAAGTGTTAAGTCAAAAAGTCGAAAAGAATGCTATTCGTCAATAGATGGCCAGTGCGTACAGCAGATCCACATCACCTACGTGGAGAATTACACTGGCGTCTCTTGAACTGCCGCCGTGTGAGCATATTCAGAATCACCAACACCATAAAAATCAATACACAACCATAAAAAATCACCAATCACCACGTCGGAGGATGGTCTGGCCTCAAACAAATCTATCTCAATAGATGGTGATACGTCTCAGATCCCCCCCCCTACTGGCAGATTCCCCCCTTGCTCACTCTGCTTTGACGTACACCGCTACTGGCCACAGTAGTCAGTGCGTAGCTGTGCCAGTGTTCTGTTGCTACCAGCTGCAGTGCGTTTTCTTTCAGTTACATATAATATTTATAACTTTATCTGTGACACTACATGAGTTTATATTTAAATACAAACATTTGCTGCGTTCTCACGGGTATACTTTCTGCTAGTAAGTATAGTGCATATACTCACGAGTAGGCTGACATAACAAAATTCTATCCCAATATATCTCACTTCAGTAAATTATAAGAAGCACAGCCGTAACATCATTTTGTGGAATTACGCTTTAAAATAGAGAACACATACTTGCTGGTAGTCCGATACCAAAAGTAGTGTTCCAACGTCTCACTTATGGTTTCCAGCTTTCTGAAACCATCCTCTAAAGTAGTATGCGGAGAGATATGTGCTTGCTCATGCCGAGTATAGCTGAGAGGGTCTATGTCCCCCGGGGTACTGCCGGAACGTACCCTGGGTACGTCCGATTACGGAACTACCTGGTACTATCTAATATGGCGGACCGTACCTCGCCTACTCCATTATTGATATTACACTTTTAAAACAGAGATAATATATCACTGATATAAAAGAAATGCCTATTATGATAACAAACTAGCTACAAACTAGGTGCCTAGTCATCGCGAATTCCCACATGCTGTAGCATTCGGTTAGATCTGGGTTCGACGACGACATGAACAACAGTTTTTATTGCTCGTTGGCATTCCGTATTCAATACCATAGACTACTGGCGGCAGTAACTGCTTGCCAAGGCGCCGACGCAACGAATGTTAGTAACCGACCCGCGCGTTTCCAGCTCACAGTCTACAGCCCGACGCAGGGGAGAATACACCATATATACCAGCAGGGGAGCCCAGACTGTCGGTGTTGGCCAGCGGATGTCATAGCAGCGCTGAGAGGGTCTATGTCCCCAGGGTACTGCCGGGAACGATACCTTGGCAACGATCGGGCCTATTCCGGAACGTACCCTGGTACTATCTAATATGCCGGACCGTACCTCGCCTACTCCACTAACAAGTGTAGGGAGTCGCCTACGCCTACTCCCTAACCCTAACCCTATCCCTAACCCTAACCCTAACCCTAACCCTATCCCTAACCCTAACCCTAACCCTAACCATATCAAAGAGTTACCAGGGTACGTTCCGGTATACCGGACTGTACCCAGGGTACGTTCCGGCAGTACCCTGGGGGACATAGACCCTATGAGCCATAGCAGCAGCTGAAAAGCGAGCACTCGCACAGCAAATGCTACAATATCGTCTGCAGACATCCGTGCATGCAGCTCCAACAGTAGGTTACGTCGTTCAGTGATTGCCAGACGGAAAAAGTGTGCATACACGAAACTATCAGGAGAGAAAAAAATGAAAAAAGAGGAAAAGATGAGGAACAGTTAGGGGGAGAAAATGACACGGAGGAAGAGGAAGAGACATCATGCCATAGCATACAATCCAGGAAGGTCGAGCTCACGGACTTATTCTGTAAGAAAACCGAAGTCGTCTGGCGAAGACAGGTGCCTAAAAGACCAATGCTCATAGTAATCGATCGCTAGCGGCCCGGCACCCCGCGATCTATCGCAATCCGATCCGAGAATCTAGATAGGGAACGGTGGGGAAGGCAATCCCGGTTTCCTGGATAAAAACAATTGCCGTTTCCCAGTTCTCGGTTAATTAAAATCGCAACTTTCCCGCGTCCCGGTTGACTTCTATTACCGAATGACGAAATATTTATCTGGTATTTCTCTGTTTCCCGATAAAATGCTCCAATCTCGCTTCCAGAAAATAACGCCCTCCTTAATCTACAGACAAGCCTAGGCTGGTCTCATGGCCCGAGAGCAGCTGGTAGTGTAAATAGTCTCTTATTCGGAAAAGCGCGAGGCGAAATGTGATTGCAGCAGATGGCGAGTGCACAGTAGGCATGACGCAGTAGTAATGTGTCTCATCTGTGAGAGGCGAGCGGTGTGTCTGCGGCCCATGAACAACAACAGCATGCAATGCGTGTAGCATTATAGCAAGCTATAGCTCTAGAACTATATAGGCTTTCGCTCCGCCACAGGAAGGCTATAGGCTAAAGGTCCTGTGGCGAAGCGAAGGGATATAGTTCTAGAGATAATAGCTGGAAAACATGCTAGGCACGTAAAATCAGCGTATATTAGTAGTAGTATCGTATGGTGTCAACATCACACCTCCACAGCCCCACGGGCAAGTTAAGGCTGCCAAGTTTCCTATTAGGTCGACATGCGCAAATCTAATAAGGAGGGTATTGTGCAACTAATTGGTACTACACCGGACGGGAAACCCGAGCCCAGGGTCCAACAGCGGATATTTTTCATCGGTTCAACGGGTGCGCTATATCCAGCCAATTCGCCGTGACTATAGTATCAGGAGTGTATAATAGGGAGGAGTGTGACATCAATAAACAAGGGAAATTCGTCATTTACTAGCCTTATAATACCTACGATTTACTACGCGTAACTCATCCAACTTGAGCTCAAATCGGACACATTAATCTAATTCAAACAAAAGGCAGCTACCTAACGGGCTATTGCGCGATTTTAATCGGCCGACCGAATCGCCCGTATCCAAAATGTTAGATATTTTCGGGCGATATTTTACGCCCCGGCGATTATTATCGGCTCGTGTGCCCGTGACCGGCGTATTTTGTCGCCCATCGATTTTCTAAACCAATCGGACGTGTTGTTGATATCATGTGATGTTTAAATGTGTCTGTCGAGTGGCGTACGCGTAGCTCTGCAATTCGCTACGTCACGTGTGCCCCTTTCTGATCGGGCGATTAAATTCGCTGGCAATTTTTAATCGCGCGCATCGCGGCGATAAAAATCGCTCGTGGTGCCCCTAGCCATTATTGTTACATGATT